AGATAATATAATTGACATTGCTGATTCCTTGTAAGACTAGGAATATTTGAATATAAATGTCATATATTTTGCACAAAAGATAACATAGTTAATTTGAGAAAAATTTTTATCTAAAATTTGTATGTCTAATGCAAAAATATGATGTTTATATTCAAAATGATCATCAAATTATAAGAATTCCAGCAATGTAAATTATATTCAGACCGGATAATTTGTATGAATTTATGAGCTAAAACAAATATCTTCAGTTAATAAAAAAAATAATTCTTCACAGGGTAACAGATGGTCGGTCGGTCCTTCCTCCCCACCCCCCACCAACCATCCCGGAGATGTGTGGGATAACCACTAAATTTTAATAAAAATACCTCAAACTAAGTTAGGATAATATAATTGACATTGCTGGATTCCTTGTAAGACCAGAATATTTTGAATATAAATATATATTTTGCACAAAAGATAACATAGTTAATTTGAAAAATTTTATCTAAATTTGTATGTCTAATGCAAAAATATGATGTTTATATTCAAAATGATCACCAAATTATAAGAATTCCAGCAATGTAAATTATATTCTGGCCGGGTAATTTGTATGAATTTTATGAGCTAAAACAGGCAGTCAGGCAGGGGGGGCAAATCTAAAAATAGCTTCTCGAGCCGACACTCACCGCGTGATATGGAAAAAATCCGCGTTAAGTGAAAGTCTGTTTCTGGCGAGGCAATCACAGATATATGATAAACGCTATGGAAAAACCGCCATAGGGCGGGTAATACTGTAGTTTTATGAGCTAAAAACAAATATCTTCAGTTAATAAAAAATAATCTTCAATGCATAATTATCTGTCAATCAAAGTACCCCACCTTGCCTCCTCTTCCAACCAAGGCGCGGGTCAGTCCCAACCCTCCTCTCTCCACCCCCCACCAATCCTCCTTCCAGAGTTTTTAACATTTAGTATTAAATAATACCTCAGATTAAAGAGACAATATAATTGACATTGCTGGATTCCTTTGTAAGATTAGGAATATTTGAATATAAATGTCATATATTTTGCACAAAAGATAACATAGTTACCTAGAGAAAAATTTTTATCTAAAATTGTATGTTTAATGCAAAAAATATGATGTTTATATTCAAAAATGATCACCAAATTATAAGAATTCCAGCAATGTAAATTATATTCTGGCTGGGTAATTTTAGGTGAATTTTATGAGCTAAAACAGGCAGTCAGCAGGTGGCGGTGGGGCAAATTCAAAAATAGCTGCCTCGAATGACACTCACCGTATATGTGAAAAACTGCGGTTAAGTGAGTTCAGTTTGGCGAGGCAATCAAGCAGATATGATAAATCATAAGAAGTGAAACCGTTAGGGCGGGTAATACTGTTACTTGCTGTTATATGTGACATAATTCTGGGCTGTAAGGTTTGGTCTGACAATCACTCATTACATAAAAAATAACATCTTAATTTTATGATGGTACATGCACACAATTAATACTTAAGAGAAATAGAGATATACAGTCGCCAAGTTAATGTCCATTCAAATAATGGACACGACTCCCTCCCCCTCTTCTCACACTACACTGCTGGCTCTTCCCTCTGAGAAATTTTGGGGGAAAAACCAGGTATAGTAATAAATAATACCTCAAACTAAAGTTAGGATAATATAATTGACATTGCTGGATTCCTTGTAAGACCAGGAATATTTTGAATATAAATGTCATATATTTTTCACAAAAGATAACATACTTACTCAGATTAAACATTTTATCTAAAAATTTATGTCTAATGCAAAATATATGATGTTTATATTCAAAATGATCACCAAATTGTAAGAATTCCAGCAATGTAAATTATATTCTGGCCGGGTAATTTGTATGAATTTTATGAGCTAAAACAAATATCTTCAGTTAATAAAAAAAAAAATATTCTTCACACACTATCTGTCAATCAAAGTACCCCACCTTGCCTCCCCCCTCTTCCAACCGCGCGGTCAGTCCCAACCCTCCCCCCCACCCCCCACCAATCCTCCCTTCAAGAGATGTTGGGTGAAAAATTTAGATTTTAACATTTTGTATTAAATAATACCTCAGATTAAAGTTAGGATAATATAATTGACATTGCTGGATTCCTTGTAAGACCAGGAATATTTTGAATATAAACGTCATATATTTTGCACAAAAGATAACATACTTACTCAGATTAAACATTTTATCTAAAAATTTTATGTCTAATGCAAAATATATGATGTTTATATTCAAAATGATCACCAAATTGTAAGAATTCCAGCAATGTAAATTATATTCTGGCCGGGTAATTTGTATGAATTTTATGAGCTAAATTAAAAAAATTATACTTCACCGTGTAAAGGGGTACACCCACCGCGGAATGTGAGCATCCTGGGTTCTGGCAGGGCACCGCGTAAACGTGGAAACGCGGAATGTGGGACCGCGTAAAGTGAGGGTTGACTGTATACTGTATTGTGATTTTTGTATTTAAATTGTTTTAAATTTACCCCATTTCCATAAGGTCGAATTTATGTACTGTATCTCGAATTTAGTGGTCATAATATATAAATTCTGTATGGGCAAATTTCCGCAACCTAAGTCTCTGCAACGTGGGGCGTACCTGTAGACTGAATACGAGTTTACCATAGATTAAAAAAATAGGGGTTGTGGTCATGGGGGTATTTCAGGTCAAATATTTCTCACTAAATTATTAATAAATACCTAAATTAGATTAGAATTATTTAAATTAATATTCAGATATTGAAGATTTACTCTAAGTTGGTTAAATAAACAGTGTTTAGAGGCCAGCTGGGGTAGGGAGTGATGGAGTTAATGAGACAGAGCTGCAGGATTACCTGCCTCTTCATCTCAGGCTAGACATTTAAAATATCGGTCCAAAGACAACTGGACAGCTTTCTTCTTCTTCTGTTTGTACAGCTCCTTGTAGCTATTAAAGTCATTAATTATTAAGTTGTTAACTATAGAGCTGAATTATCTATTTCGATCACACTCACTGACGATGGCAGGTAGGACACGCACTCTACAGCAGTGATGTAAACAGTTTGTTCGCCAGTTTCATAACATAAAAACAACAAATTAATTTGTAGATTAATATTTTCCTTGCACTCTTCTTACTAAAGGCACTAATATCACTTGCTGAGCATTTTTCACCAATTTACTGGATTTTGTGAAGATTTTACTCACTGGAAATAAACAAGATCAAGTGAATGTGGTGGCAATGCGTGAACTGATACCCCTGGGGAGGGGACACAGTGGAGGAAGTCGGCAGTTGTTCAGTGTTCCAAGCCTACCCAAGTAGCCCACTGGTATCACTGACTTGTTTTTTTAGTATTTTACTCAAATTTATCAACATAATATAAGCAAAACAGTGAATAGCAAAGTAACATATAAAAAGATATACCTATATTGAACACATTTCTAACCAAAAGTACCTATGAGGAAGTCATGCGAGTTGAAATTTGTGAATACCATTGAGAGGAGGAGGGCGAGATAAGGATTTGATCTACTGGAAAGAAGGCCTTGCAAGCCTTGTTACTCAAAAGACAGAAAGGCCCTGAAACAACAGTGCTTAACCCTTAAACTGCTCACACCCTTATGAAAAGATAATATTCTATATAAAATTAAAGAATATTAAAAAAAAAAAAATTCTTACCTTTCCTGTGGTGTAGGGGTGCGTAGAAAATGTGGTAGCAAAACCTCCAAAAACAGTGACCATCGGCCTCATCCGAGCAATATATCACTCTCCACTTGTTTCTGATGCTGTTACATCAGATCCCTATACTTTCCCTTCTTCATCACTGCTCAAGAGAATCTTTTGGTACTTGCTTAGGGTAATAAACCTGGGACGTTTCCATTTCTTTTGAGGGATCCAGTGGGAGGTGCTGGGCAGTACAGTGGTCCCTCGGTTAACGAGATTTCGGTTAACGAGTTACCTTCCATAAGATTTTTAACTTCGGTTAACGAGCAATCCCTCGATTAACGAGTTTCTTACGAGCCGACCTGAACATGTTTTCGCTTGCATTTGGCGGTCCACCAGCTGTAGTATTAGTCCGCCAATACAGTAATCGGTTCTAGGGCTTATATTCCTTACCATTTTAGTAAATATCACGAAGTTTACAGTATTCAATAATTTTAAAAGTTTAATATTAATTTTTTTCGTAATTTTAACAATTATTGAACATAATTGAAGGTAAAGAAACTAGTTTCTGGCATGCCATCCAGCCTGGCAACACACCAGACAGGCGTTAGTCTCTCTCTGTTTTCACTGGAGGTAACATCTTGCTTGAGACTCTCTTCAACTAAACGCTTTTTTTCTGTGTTTCCAAGCAAATTATTGGTCATTTTGAAATTTATTTTACATATTGACAATATATAATGCAGTGCAGTGTTGATTTAAAGAAAATAATCTTGAATTACACCAAAAGAACTAAAATTTTATGGGTGAAATGGCACCATGAGGTGACTTCTCTTCCACTCCAATGCCTTCTCTTCTTCCTTCTCCTCCACCCCCATTCTAATTCCCATCATCATCATCATCATCCAGGAGCCTTCTACATTCACACCTCAAAGTAAGTGTACTTTTCTACCCTTTTTGTTGAATTTAGGCCATTTTTGGCAATTTTCGGTGAGCTGGAACCAATTACCCAAAAACCCATTGAAACAATGGTTTCGGTTAACGAGCAACCTTCTAGAAAGGATTGTGCTTGTTAACCGAGGGACCACTGTATATTATTTATGGTGGCTAGACCATAACTAAGCACATGACATGAGTAAGCTCACTTATGGTATCTTCCCGTATCAGTAGTGACACCTGTAGGTGCCTGGAACAACCATATGTCATCTGTGGCCTTGAATGGTGACAGGAAAAGGCCTGCGTCAATTAATGCATGGAATAGTCACAGAAGAGGCACGCTAATTGACACACAGAGCAGTGTAAGTGTTTATAGATCAGAAAGGAGAACACAGTTATAAGAAATGAAAGTTATTCAAAGTTTTATTGCCAATTATACATGAAGGCATTTCCTGGTACCATTGCAAAATAACAAAAAAGCTGCTTAAATATCACATCAAATAACATAACACTTCTATGGTGACAAGGAACCAACATTTTGGGAAGAGTAGTTTGGTCATCCTCATTCCAAACTGACTGCAAGCAAGCTATGATTACTGAACAGTGCCAGAACATGAAAATGAAGATAAGACCAACTTTCACAAAAAAAAAAAACTGTCAAATAATGGCTGATATAATCCTCAAATTATGAAGGAACTTTTAAGTACAATTTAGTACATAATTACAAAACCAACACACTTAAAAAAAAAAGTCTACAGTACTTTGCTTGGAAAGGCCATTTGCAACGATGGTTCATACTTGTGTCTGATGGTGGTTTTACTAGGCATTTATACCATTTACACAAAATAGTAGATTTTTTCATTATACTACAACACCTATAGATGCTTATGATAATCATAACAGCATTTTCATTAATAATCAATCAAACTTTCTTTTTTCTTTTTTTACGGGTAATAGCCCACCCGGGCACAGGTCATCAACCCACAACAGGGCCTGGGGGCGAATCCTCAAATGAAATTCATATCTTAATACTGGGAAATTTCAATGGTTTGACAGATGACAGAACCTTTATATTATTGCACAAAATATAAATAATATAATTGATTCATAAATAGAAACAAAATACTGTTTCAAAATTTTCAGATACAGAAACAACATAAAAGCAGAAAATAATGAAAGTTACTACTGTACTGTACAGTCCAGTATTTTTTCAAAATGTGTTATGGGATTAATGCTGTCTTGGTGTTTCTTGTTTACAACTATATAAATGTTATCATCTTAAAAAAAAAAAAATAAAATAAAAAGTAGAACACAATGCGCTTTAACATTTCTTTATTATGATAAATGAGAAAAAGTTGCAATTAAGCACATTGTAAAGTACACACTTATCCTAAACATTACATATAGAAAATTGGTATAAATAAAATTCCTAATGAATAGCATAGTCTCAGTTGTGATAGTTTGTATTACAATTTACTTTAATTTACAATTTGATACTTTGGCACCCATTAAAAAACCTGCTGAAGAACCATAAGTCTGTGCCAGAAAAAATTAGCAAGATGTGTACATGATTTTAATTATCCCTGAAAAATAATTTTAGATACAAAATAATAACTCTAAGTCAATCTGTGATTCATAATGTGGAATACTTTAAATATAAGTTCTGAAAGAATTCCACAAATCCAATTTAAAATTTCTATTAAGAATATAGGTATGACGTAAATCACTTCTGCAACACTGTTGTGTCTACTTATAGCCCAAGCACTTTTGCTTGTTGATGGATGATGTTAATGTGTACATTTACATTTTAAATTACTCTTTAGCAGACATTACTGAAAAGTGAAAGTGGGTCCCATATACCTGACTGCCCGTTAGGGACAGTGTGGATACAACACAATGTAAACTAAGCCTTTGTTACACAAAGAGGCAGCATGGCCGGTACTGCACTTGACAGCATTCACTTCCCCAAGTTATAAACTAGTTACCTATTTACAGCTGGATGAACCACCGACCCCTGAACAGGAGGCAACCAACTGTACCCACTCAACTGCCACAGACATTACTAATTCACATTAATTATAATAAAATGAAAGCTTGAAGTTCTCATTACTATGAGCAAAATCAAGGCAGGTTACTTTTGGAGTGCTGCAACAGAAATTGAGTCTTTGTTGCACTTCAATTTGAAATTTTATTCTGAAATACATTTACATTGGTCAAACTCCTACAATAGATACTGTATATTGTAACATTTTCTACTGGTATCAGGATATTTTGAGCATAACAGCAATGCAAACCTCCACACTTTTGACAGGAAATGGACCAAGTATTTTACATTTTACCTGATTAATAAAGAGAACCAAACTATTATAAAACCATACAATTCTACTTACTGTACCAGACCTCTGATCAGTGTTAAATTCACCTCATCTTCATACGGAACTCCCTATGTACAGTACAGTGCTAAATAAGACAGTTTTTCCAAATACAGAGAAAACAATTAAAAAACCAATAACAAAATACATTTGAGAAACATATTCTCTTCTACAATATTTAAGTTTAGCCCACCTGAATAAAAGATATTACAAAGAAATAAAATATCTATCAAGTGTATTAGTTATACAGTGCATATTAGTGTTGTCACTAAGTGAATGAGATCATAAAAACAACTTACTAATGGAGCTGAACTAATCTTGAACCAAAATACTTTGTCTAATAAAGTTGTTGATAGCAGTTGGCCATGTTGTCCATTTTCATTAATGGGATCAAAGGAAAATTAAAAACCAATTGTAAATTAAGATAACTGTTACCAGTACCATTTAAACATTATTTATAAAAGAAGGTTCCTGTGCAAGATAATCTTTTACCTTCAACAGGGTTTACTCAATAACTATATCCCAAAACATTAATTCTAGGTTGGAAAAGACTAATAACTTGCACTTTCAGCTGTAATTAAAGTAAAAATTATATGGGATCAATTTGTAATACAATATTCAATATTTTAATGAATGATACAGCTACTGGCATATGAAATGTGGAACTCCATGTTTTAGCATCAAGAGCCTAAAGGACGTCAGAATGCAATCGAGCCAGGAGGAAAACCAAGAATGACGTTAGAGATCCTCAATAAGGACAAAGGCCTCAGAAAAGGAGATGACTGTAATGATCTTGTGCTTACGCATTAACATTCTTAACATAAATACTATATTTTCAAGCAGGATAACTGCATGAAGCATAAGAAATTTTGTATCGGGATTGGTTGTGACTTCTGGAGGGCAAACATGCATAGGAAAACATAAGAGGATCAGATATTTGTGTCTAGGAATGTTTACTAATCTGATCCTGCCAAAGGTGACTATAAAAATAGCAACACCCTGTATTGTACTGTATAACATAACCACTTACACACAAAAAGTAATTCCCAATAGTTACATTTAAACAAATAAAAAGCATGCACACACACATGAATACACAGCACTGTACATAGCTACACATAGCAACTCAGTATAAACTTAAGCAAAACACACACTGAACAACTGTATACTCTTTATCCCTACAAACAGCAGCCACAAGAAACACACAAACAATAAACAAATCTGCCTCAAGGCCTTTAGAAATCAAAATGTAAAATTATGCATCATTACTTAAAAGCAAAACACATGCTGTAATTAAGTACATACCTGACTACCCCACACACAAGATACAAAAAAGAAAGTTCAGAAGAGAAAAGAATTACAGAAATATATGAAAAGAGAGAAATAATACAGTAATACATTATGTACGTATGTGTAGAATTTGCTTAATAAAGGGATATAAACTTTTGTTACCTATGGAAGGCTCCTAGACACAACCATCATCCCCAGGCAATTTGGAAGGACTGCATTAAGGTTGGCAAACTGACACTTATACCTAGTGGATCTATCTTTGGCAAAGTTAGTAAAAGTCTCTAACATTAAGGCAGCTCTATGAAGGGAATTATTATTATTATTATTAATAGTATTATTATTCATGCTTAGTACCGGTAAGCCCAGCCATAATTTCATTAAGATATACAGTATACTGGGTTAATCTAACCTTAGTAAAACTACCTTACATCATGTACAGTATTCCCAAAATGGAACACATACACTTAGAGTTCAAATAATACTCATACCTCTATCTATTTGCAAAGTAAAGAAATTCATGAGATAAAATCATTATATTCACTATATTAAAGAATACAAGTTTGCTATTGCTTATATTACCTAGATACCACTAAACACCCCTTGACTATAGGTAACTACCCCACATAACTAACATTATAAAAACATAAAAAAATATTAATAAACTTTTGTTTTCAGTAATGGAATGCATAGACCAAAAACTAATTTCACTTCTTCTATATACTTATCCAGTTTTTTATGCTAATTTTTTTTTGACATAGCATACAGTATAAGTAAAAATAAACAAAGTACTGTACACTACACTATATAAAAAAATCACTTAATTCTCGTTAACCTTAATTTGACTAACAAAAACTCAGTTCTAAACATCCAAGAGTCCAAATTGTAAAGCTGATCTTTTTAACAATACATAAAGCCAATATCCATAAACTGGACGCACCTAACAAAAGCTGAGGAATGTAATTCATAAAGGATTTGTCTTCTTGCTTTCTAAGAATTAAAGACTACAGTATATTTAAAGCCAATAATGATTACAACTTCACAACTTTTGAATAAATTAGAAACCTCTGGGGGAAGAGCACGAGGTTCCAATTTTCCATTTCTTACCACCACTTCAATTAAATCCAAATTTAAGTCATCTAATATGTATATGGTAATGAAGACATGATATTATTTCGAGTGTATTGACAATATCAGACTATTCCTATCCAAGTCCAGACAGAAAAATTACTATATAATTTATTTTCTTATTTAATGGAGTGAATGAGTGAGATCACTTTCATAAGCCTATCTTAATTTACTAACCTGAGTTATTGTTTCTACACAACCCTCCAACTGTGGCACACTTCTGTAGTACTGGTTGGCTCTGACCTACTGTAAGTTACACCTATACAGTACAGTAGTAACATTATATTACTCTATTCTTCACCCCAAGTCAAATATTTGGTAGTGATGCTTAAAGTAAAATATGCTCTTGTTAATAAACACATTACTAAAAATGCATAAAGCCCTCCCACTGAGGGTTTAAGAACATGATAGATTTCTGATGTCACCACATGCTATGTTGTACTGTATAATCACTGACTATTTTTCTTCTTTTGATAAATAAGAAAATGTATGTGATAAAAATACAGTTGAATCTTTCTGGTAACAGTTTTGACATGTTAGGATCTGGTTTAGATACCCATGTATGTGAAGATGCATGCATGTATGGATACAGCATTATAGACATACATAATTATATACACAAAAGTACCTACTGTATACACATATGCATATCGACATTAAATTCACGGGAGCTTTTCTACACTTTTAATAATTACAAAGCAGAACATATTACTATCTTCATAAAGAGATAAATTCTTTCTTGTAAATTGGTGTTTTCCACAGCATGAAGGTTAAAACACAGAATTTTAAATACTACATGAACATTATACTACAGTACAGTACTATATGATTTTTATAATAAATTACAGGTACAGTATATTTAAAGTTTATTTTATAACAAGACCATGAATCTACACATATATTAAGTATTATTTGTGTTTTATACAACTTTAAAACTGTAATTGAAAATGATGGTAGTTACCTCAATTTCCTCAAGAAATAGTTACAAATTTTAAGTCAGGACAATATGTTGTACTGCACATCATTCACTGGGTACAGAACACTTCAGTAATATTTAGGGAACAATGATAATGAGCTCTCAACCCCTGGCCTACAGTAAACAAGTCAATAACATCATAAAATTACTGTATATTACCATGGTACAGTATGTAACTAACTTCTCAATTGCTGACACAAGAGATAAAGAACATAGAATGATGGAGAGTTTGTGATGATCTTGATTCTGGTTACCTGCACTGTTATGGTGGAGGGCTTACAGGAGTGACAGACTATTATTGAGTCGATATATATACGTACAGTATAAAATAACTGCAAGGATCTATTAGTGTGCACATGATCTTCTTAGTGTTACTGTCATCTATTCCCTAAATTTAATATGGTTCACAAGATGAGAATATATCTAATAACTCATCATTTTGGATATAAGAGAAGGCCAGTTTGTAATCACTTTAATTTTATATATACCGTAACTGTTTTTGTCACCTCACTGAAATCGAACTTCAGACTTGTTAAACTTATATAAAGAAAACTTGCAAACTTTAAGAAATTATATAATCAACAAAGAACATATATCATGTAGGTCTCTCTTCCTTTCAATCTCAACACCACCTCTACCTAGTCTCTCAAGATAAAATGCTTTACAATATTCCAAACGAACAAACCAAAATACATTTCATATGGTAATACAGTAGTAAGATATTGTGCAAACCTGAGTGTGATTCCAGTACTACAGCCATTTAATTTAACAATGTCCATGTCACACAAACATCGGTAAAAATTATCTTTGTTTTTAGTCAGGTTTTTTTTTCTTTCTCACATGTACATAAAGAAATACGTACAGAGATAATAAACAAATTTCATACGGTTTTCTCATCAAATAAAAACAAACTTAATCATGTTTTCAATATTATTCAAAGTTTCTTAATATGACTCCAATAAAAGTGAGTTGAACAGTAAATAAGTTGAAGACCCTCAAACATACACACACACACCTCACCACTGTTACTTCTCTTTGTATATCTCCTTGAAAAGACAAATAAAGAAGAGTGCAACATACTCACAATGACAAAAGCTGACAATTGAAAGCCAGGATAAAGGCAGATGTGGGAGGTATTGGGGATGTCTGATTGTCTGTGGATGAAGGGAAGGTGGAGACTATAGGTGTCCACTATGACAAACTTCAGTTATCACAGAATGCCTCAGCAACTATCAATGGGAGTTCTAAGCACAGGAATATCCATACACGATGAATATTTCAATAACATCAGAGGTATAGACCCTTAAATCCAGGACATTTAGGACCAAGACCGAACCAGTTGTGTGGATTTTTCAGTTTTGTGGGCTCTTGGGTCAACCTACCAGCAGTGGCTGTCAAGTTTTGCCTCCACACACAAACTTAGTTGAATATATGTTGAATTTCTTAATAACACCAGAAAGAAAATGCCGTTTTAAGCAAACTTTTTATAATAAAAAATACATTCAATTTAGTCTATCTAGAAGTTGAGAGTTTAATACAGGTGTAACTTGACTAATATTAATTTCAAAAGCTATGTGAAAACAATAATACAGTAGTACTTTATTGACATATATATTTATAAATAAAATAATCGAGGTATTGGGCAATTCATTCATTCAAATAATAATTATTTATGAACTGTTCTTATGGCAAATGTCAGGACTCGTCAAAAAACTTTAGGATTGGAACATCCACAAACTCGTCTTAAAACTTGATTTTAAGGAGCTCTCAACTTCTAAATAGACTAAATTTAATGTATGTTTCATTAATTAGATTATGTAGGCAACAATATTATCTTTATTTTGTTATTTAGGAAGTAAAACAAACATGCAACTGGATGTGTGTGTGTGTGTGTGTGTAAGCAAGGGAAGAAAATCAGATCTAACCCAAGGAAGAGAATGTCCGGTTTTAAAGAACCTCCAGTTTTCTGAGACCTGGTTATGAGGGACTATACCTGTACAGTAATGCCTCGATATGTGAATATGTATTCAATAAATGACATTTCAGCTTAACAAACTTTAGATTTATTACATTTATTTAACACACAAAGCCAAAAAGGAATACAATTGAATAAATAAATACTGTACACTGAAATGAATAAATAAATAACAAATTTACTGATTTACAGTATGTACTGTATTAATTAAGACCAAAATGGTAGCAAGATATTAATTATTGTGCATTGTTTACATTCGACTTCCACAATCAGTATGCAGCAATGTACTACAGTACTTCATAACATACTGCAATTTTCAGTGTATGAATTGTGGCACAGTATCAGTGTTGTTTTTTGCTATTACCAAGTACTATACTGTACTGAAATTAACCTTCTATAAGGACTCTTATTATAAAAAAGTATTGACTGAATTTATACTAAATATGTCTTCAAAGGAAGTCAAATGACGATGGTGATAGAGCAAGTAATGACTAAGGCAAGTCATCAAGTTAGAGCAAAAACTTAGTTAAAAGAATTATGAACAAGCTGATCAAATTAAAAAAATTGTTTGTAATATGAATGGTATGCTATGAAGGCTGTGAATGCATCTCTTAATACTGTACTATACTGCATCTCAGTATTACTGTATTGTTGTGAGGATGTTTTTCTACATCAAAGTTACATCAAACTAAAGAATGGGCTAACCATGCCCTTTCCTATTACAGTAATAAGAAAACTTACAATAGTGAGGAGAAATGAATCTTATTAATTTATTTATCCAAATCTGGTCATGTTTAAAGAAATGAATTTCCTTCAAAAGACTAGTACAGTACTGTATTCTAAAAGTAACATTATGTTGCATACACACACACACATGTACATAATATAACTAGACATTTGAGATTTTATGCAGGGTTCAGTTTAAGTAGTTCTCATGATTGTGTGTTGCTATTTTGTTCAAGTCAAACCATCAGCTTAACAAGAGTGAAAGTTTATAAACAAATTATGAGTTCATTTATCTATTGCTTATATCAACTATACTACTGTGTATGTTGAACATCAACAGTATCATACCTAATGTACAGAGTTTCTTCAAATCTCAAAAACTTTTCTGAGCTTCAATAATGTAGCTATAAATCAGCATCTGAAACACTGAATCAGTCAGTCAATTACATTTGAAAATTTCCATTTTATCACACATGTTGACTCCACTATATTTTCTTCAGTGAGATCTCTCAACACATCCCAAATGTGAAGCAAGAATACAATGTCTCACAGCACTTATGGGAATGAGTGTACAGTAGTCACAGGATTTGGGGTAGAACAAATATAAGAACACCCGAGAGCCAATTAACTTCTAAATCTGAACACATCAATATCCTGTCTATGTGCACCACTGTGTACCCTTATGTAGTGATGACAGCAAACATGATCTTAGTCTGTACTGTTTATATTTTTTTACATCTTAACCAATAATGTAAGTAAATCGCTGGAAAGTTATATATTTACTATCCACTTCATTAAAGTGTATACTTGCCTTTAAGCTAATATTTCTGACATCATTTCACTTTGAACAAGTTTAGCTGGATAATGAAACTGATTTAACCAAAGAAAACCTTTCATATAGTTGACCATCAATATAAATGGTAATGATTACTTAACACGAAAGAAAAACAACAGCTTTGTTTTACTCTCCTAAATTTTATACTAATCTGCACAGTCTGTACAGAACCTGCAGTGATTATAACAGTCTGCTCGATAGAACTGAGGCTTTCTACTATTCCTGTTGTTGTTAACTGAAATTCCTTTTCCAGTACTCTCTCATCACATATGCATCCAGTCTACTACATTTAGTTATGACTGATAAACTGATGACATATACACCAAAATATTTTCATTGAAAACTGTTGTGCTCCACAATTCATACCAAAACATAGTTTTCTGAGTATTGCAATTTCTGCAGCCATTAAACAAAGGTATTTATGAAGTAAAACAAAAACAACAACATACTGTGTTCTTAAAACTTTGTGCTGCAAGTTAAAGTGTAGAGCTGCTTTACTCAATACATGCTACTGCAAGCAGTTATTGTAACAAAGAATACAACACTTATTCCCTGCCCAAAAAACAAAGTATTAACAATGATTTCTTGGAGTTTTGATTGTGTTGTGATAATAATTCACAAAAATTAACATGAATTTTCATCATTTTCCACAATCCAACTTTCTAATTGCTCCAAATTATTTTCCGTCTCTCTGCTCTTCCTTACAAAGTATATTTCAGATATAAATATGTTTACTTGTCTTTGTGACTTTATATACTAGCAACACTTTACAGTTTTCATTTCATGCAACTCCTCTATTTCTTGCTTCTCCTAAAACATTGTACAGTACTGTACCAGCAAACAATGAAATAACTGGAGTTAATACACATCTTTGAGGAGAATTCCAAATATAAACAAGGGATATGAAATAAAAACTATGCAACCCTTTTACAACCCTTGTCAAAATGTATCCCAACATTTCTCAGTTTTCTATAGAGAATTTCATATTTGGCCCCGGGATCAAGACAGGCCTATCCTCCAGTTTAGTCTATTGAGTTACGGGCACTAAAGTGTTCCTGTGGTCTACCTCCGCATCCCTCAACACTCGGTAGACGAAGGCAAGAAGTATTATTCGGTGTAATCTCATGTTTTTATATTTCTTAGTTATTGAGATGTAGGAGAACTAATCTTTAAAGTTGAATATCTCAAAAATAACCTTTTAGAGATAGGCCGGTTTTGACCTTGGGGTCTCATATTGTCTTTGGGTAGCATTTTTTTATGTTCCACTTTGTTATTAAAACAAACATGTACTATGTGATAATCAAACACCTCAATACCAGTGTATTTTTCGTTGAAGCTGAGGGAAAGGTTATTTTCTTGGTGATGCTCAAGTTTTCACACACACACTTAAAGGGTTAATTCTTATGGGAAAAAATAGAACATGCAGTACCAGCAGACAACTAAATCCAAATTTAAAGCTTAATTTTATTTGCTACTTTCACAGTCACATTCTAATGACTTCAGAAATATTTGCAACATATCACTCCCCTCCATGCTTGTATATTTTATTACAAATCCATTTTTAAGCTTTTGCTTCAAGAGAAAAACTTTTGATTATTATATAAAATAAAACTTTTAAGATAACTGTCTAATTACTGAAGAAAGAAAGCCAATTTAAACTGTGATGTCCATCATATAAAATTTAATATACTGCACTGTATTGTATTGTATATGGTACATTTTATAACATTCTCTTCCTGCACTGACATTAGTCACTGTTTTATGCTCATCATCTCTTCAATAAACAGTGAACCAAACAAACTACATGAACATCCTCACAAGGAAAATAAACCTTGATTTAAAATGATACTTCACAGCAAAATAATATACAGGATTACAAAACAAAATGAGAATTACAAAACTGTCACATAAACTTGTAGTAACATAAAGATAAAAATCAAACTCACAGGCAGGGAGTGGGGGAGAGGAAGGAGATGTTCCTCAGTGCCATGATAGACAATTACCATAACAAACATTGGTATTGCTCAGGATTATCTTACAGTTATAAAGAGAGAACAAACAACCCCAAATGAAGGGAGAGTTTGTTGCTCTTGATTCTAGTCACCCTACAGTATAACAGGGAACAGCTTACACGAGAGTGACACATAGTTCATTAAAGCCAACAAGGGAATCAATTATTAGAGATGTTGAAGACATGAATAAATAATGGTTCATGACATGACCTGTCATATAAATATGCATTTTTGTATGTTACAGCTACCCTGAGTTCTAGTGACAATGATGCCTCTTATAACACTAACAAATAAATCTTTGAACATATACAAACATTAATAATAATTAAAAATATAAATAATTCAGTAAGAAGATATTTAAAGAACTTACTTCAACACATGACAGCTCTTAAAACAATAACCATGTGCCACTCGGGTACTTGAATGATACTGTGAAGTTTCATCCATAATACACACTATAAGGGGCAACGGAATATTAATGAAGGGACCAAGGCAAGGGAAGCTAAGGTGCTCTATATCAGCAGTAGATTATCACATAGCCAAGCTGGCATATACAGTACACAGTTAGACAATAATAGAATAGTACCTGTTAAATGGAGTTACTAGAGCATGCAGTAAGGCAGGTTGTATAGTCAAACTTACTGGATATAAAACTACAGTCTGTGATACCATAAGGTTGAATGACGCCAGTCCAGTTGTCTGAATCACTTCTATAGTGTATTTATGAAGCAAATGTTAAATAACGAAAACATTTAAATTATCATTCTACATTTGTGAAATTTTTCATCAATTATTGGATTCCTTGGGCATTGTAATATACCCATGTATAACAGTTTGCAGTGAGCCAGCCACATTCATAAATAAAGATTTACAATATTATAATCTTGGCAGGTTAATTTTGTACAGTACTAATGAGGATATCTTAGTTATGTCTACACCGTCTTCCAGGAAGAAATTATCAGAGGGAACCTGGCATCAAAGATTTATACAGAGAGATGAACAACATTTGTACAAATGAGTATCACAATGTAGACAAAAATGATAAGATAGTTAATCAGCACAACTAGAGAGAGTCTAGCAGAAGCAATGTGTATTACAAGTTTTTAATATTTTAGTGAGAGCACCACATCTTCACCTGTACTGTACTGTACTGTACCTGGTCACAAGTTGGGTAAAGAGAAGGTGTAAGTAGCTGTGCCATGCTTTCCTCACTGAGGAACATTACCACAAAACATGCAAACACTGTGGTTTCTCTAATGCTACACCTGAGGCCCACTATGTCCACAGTAGGTGACAATACCAGGCAACAATGTCATGACAACCATTACACTCAAAATCACAGGTATTTGGAACAGGGATTCATAAATTAAGTGATACACCACAACCTTAATTACATTCGGTGACTGGAGGAAAACGCCAGATATATCACCACATTATACACACACAGAGGAGCATATTTTGGGTATGAAGAAAGGCATCCACTAGATATATATGTAACACAAGAAGAGTTTCTTATTAAATCAAAGTTCAAGCAGTGCAACAAAATATTCTGTCGATGAACTCTTGCTTGTGAACAAATAAATGTTATTAATTATTTTATAAGTACAAGTTTCTATTTCACTTTAGAAAATACTTTTGTATTAGAAATAAATAAGATGGAAAAACACTCATGTGGCACATAATTGAAGATGTAATGTATTATGTTTGAAAAATACTCTTCAAGTACAGTATTCTGAGAATGAAAATAACGATGAAGAGTTTGTATTGGGTACGTGTAACAGTATCACATCTTTTAACAGTAAACTGAATATACTCCATAAATGAACATAAATAAGAGCTTGTTAAAATAAGCACATGCATTAGACACTTAATTTTAAGCATCTACACAATATTTCTAAGAAAAAATTATCAAACATGGCACAAAGTTCCACACTATGAAAAGTGACCAGAAAATGGATCTCAACTACTGTATGTGGGCATCAGCAGCATCTGATTTGTAAGTAAATTAGTCCTTGCAGATAAGCCAGGGCCAAGTAAGTCACTGACAATGATATAAAATGTTTACCCTCAATGATTTCAACATAATTTCTGAAACAGTCTTGATAATTGTGTATGAGCCAGGAAAAACATTAAACAGCTTCAACAAGAAAGTTCCTATTATAAAACCAGAAAGTTATAAATAAAAGTACAGGGGCAGGGAGTGAGTGTGTTGTGTTAGTAAAGCTTCATGTTTGAACATGAGTACAGTACACTGCTTACAGCTAATGACTGGTCATCATGGGATATAATGAGTGAAGCTTATATACCCTTGGCTTATCTGCTTGCACTATAGTTTGTGACTCTGGACTAGTCAAAAAAATTCACACTGCACAAGGTGTGACAAATGTTCCCTCAACAATTCAAGCAGCAGTGTTTCACTACAACTTGACTCTATTATACATAAAAACAGTTTGTTATCCTTGACCATTTACTAAATAATAATGACATCATCTAAATAATAATAATTATATAATTATTTTGGATCACATAAAAATTGCAGTTGCTTTTAAATATAATAAGAGGTCACAGAGTAACAGCTGAGGTCTGTTTCCATTTTGGGAGTTATACTGGTTATGCAACTCATCAAACTGATTTATCTATCAAATACCAACTGTTAAGTACATGTGTTGAGTGATGGGCTGGAGTTCATTAGTTTTAGCTGCCTCATGAATAAATCAATGCCAGTCTAGCCTTCACAAAATTGAACTGACTTGCTGGTACATTTACTGCTATGTTTCACAAATGGTTCATATGATACACAACTTAAGTATTCCTTGGGCCAGACCTTTACAGTCAGTGCAGTAATTGCGATGCCCTAAATTTTACTACTTGATAAAGTAAGGATAAAAAATAAAGACAAGTGTTGTAACACAGAGCCAAAAGTTTCTGGTGCTGTAGCTACTAGTTTTCTGAGAACTTGTTCACTCCTCATATGGTATATCAATGAAAGTGTTTCCCTACAGTTCTCCAGAAACAAATGTATACAATGCACTGCACTGTACAATATATAGATGGCTCACCTGACCTTCTGTTTTTTTTTTATATTGTACAACTTAACTCTGTTGTTATCACATTGTTGCAAAAATTTTCATTTTACCAACAACTTGTATGAATAAATATTGCACCAGAAAAATAAAGATACACTTACATCTACCGGTAATATACCTTCCATATTTAACATAAGAAACTGACATGTAGGTCACTTTTGATTTGTAATTTGAGAGACATGATAATTCCATTATCAGGCATTATAAATACTCTGTAACAGGGAAGACCAAGTCTTCACTTTAATGAGTACAATTTATGTAGTTACAACATGAAGTCTCTCATCATATATTGGTAAGCTCTCACAATTACTGGAAATTACTGACTGTCCTTCAAAGTGTTGCTGTAAATCACAGACTGTACACTATTAACAATTTAGAAGACAACTATAACATCTTAAAGTACAGAAATATAGCAGATAGCTTCAGGATATATTTGTATGATTAAAATTTAACACTAATAATTTTGTTTAAGGCTATTTGGCTAACATCTATTTTCCTTTATAAATGATCTTGAAGTGGCTATAGATGGAAGTAATAAAGTTACTGTTTTACCATACTAATTTAAGGAGAGCAGATATAAGGCTCTCTAACTCCTGGGCAACTATTAAACAGTGCTATTAAACCAAACTCCCAATAAATGAACACAGCCATTTTGAGTATCTTGCCTTAACTCAGATTTAAATGACTAATATTACAATATGCTTTGATGGGTTATAATTGTGAATTATGATGAAAATAAATATCAAAATTATTTAAGATAAAATCTACTTGGAGTAACAACATAAACCAGTAAGTAGAGGATATCAATGCCAGGCTACACTAAGAAGTGACTGCGAGTGATAAAAACCAGAGAGAGAGAAAATAAGTTGTTGCAGACATTAAGCAAAATTGATGGCAATGTTGGTAAAAAGATACTGCAGGAAGACAAAGAACACCTTAGCTAGGAGACCAAGGTGTGAGCCCATGATGACTTGGTCAATACAGTATACACAATAGGGACTTCTAGCCCACTGTTCCTCCCTCAGGCAATGCAAGATAGCCTTTCCCAATAATATATAATGAGATACATACCCTGGAATGCCTACCATTGCTCCTTCCTCATCAAGTAGTAACCCAAAATAAAATAAAAATCAATCAATCTGGGGCAATTATATATCAACCTTTGCAATATTCAATTAAATCAAGTCACAGCCCATCAGAAGATAATGTGAACTATACAGTATGTCTGATAAGCATAAAGGTATATCTACTGTACAGTATATGAGGTATCTTAGAAATGCTAGTGGATATTTAAAACAAACCAGACAAATGAAATAAGCCTAATAGCAAATATAAATTATAAAGAAAAAGTGGTTACATTTGTATGGGTGGGCAGTGAAAGAGTGAAGTGTTTCCACAAAGTATGGAAGCTCTGATATGAACATGTGTTGGCTTGTTAAGAATTTTGTTTTTTTCTCTTTCTACCTTCATGAAATCAAGTTGGCACACATTCTATTATAATTATGTGGTATATTTCTTACATTAAGAACAACTTCCACTTTCAAGTTTTTTCATATCTTACCCATCTTTATTAACTATACAATACCTTCCTTGTCTTCAGAGCAACATCTGAGATATGTATTCTAAGTAAACCTCTCAAGTTTTACACAACTTTCCATTAACCCAATATTCTCAGTCTCTGTTCCTTACTGCATATTCCTCACTGCCATCAGCTGGTAAAGCCCATAATAAAAATGGAGTCCCCTTTTCTTTCAAATAAAATTTGAACCTTAACTCCAATAAAGTTAATTAAAGATGAATACTTTTCTCATGAAAGAATTTAAAAAGTGTAAATTACTTATCTGTAGATACTGTTGCTGGTGATCTGAGAAGTGTAGGAGGATGTGTTGTGAGTACTGTGTGTTGAGTGAGTCTCCTACTTCTACTTTTAATGTAGTATATACAGGTATATATTTGCTCATTAGTGAACTTCCTTTACTAGCACTCCATGGGCCAATTTTCCTTAAAAAGGGACTTGTACAAAGTAAAATGCAAAGAGGGGATTTAATTCAAGCAGAATCTGCACATGACCTGAACTGATTATATTGTTGGCAGGACTCAAGTACAGTATTAATAAATATATCTTTAATGATGATTAAGTTAAGTCATAGAGCAAATTATCAAAGACGAAATTTGTGAGCTAATGATGTCCCACAATTCCACAACTCCTCTCATCTGCCACTTCAAGTGTCATATACAAGTACTGACAAATGCTTACATGATTAAGTATTAACTGCATAGAAATTTCATAAATCTGTCACAGTAAAGCAAGTGCCTGTTGGTCAACAGTCTAAGCAAATCAGCAAGCATTCCTCACATTACTGGCTGTGATAATGAACCATCTATAGTTGGGTTAAGCTTCCACATACATGCCTTAACTCTATATGCTATAGCTGCACAAATAATCATTCAGTTCTTGTACTTTTATTGCCAATGTTTACAGGATGTGTCAGAATTTTGCTGCAAGATATATAAATACATTAAAGCTTTCAGTTCATGTAAAAATTCCTTAATACACTACAGTATAACTGGAGAAAACTCACTGGATGATAACTCTCTCATTCACTGTATACTAAAGTTATCAATTTATGATGTGCATAAATACAGCAACTTGTATCAACCAAAGCAAAGCTATACCTTTTGGATTTCATGAGATAAAAGATGTGTTAGTTCCTTTTAAACTGGCCTTGAGAATATTACCAAAGAGACAGCAAGATGAGGCAGTGGTGGTGGCAGGCTGCGGCAAAGAAGATGGGGGACTCTGAGACGTGGTGACAGCACTGGACGTAGTGGCTGGAGTCTGGCTTGTACCCTGCTGTTGCTTCTGCTGCTGTTGCTGCTCCTGTTGCTCTAGCTGCTGGGAGTGAGGAGGTTGACGACTCTCTGTCTGATGGGACTGTGGCTCGATTGTCACAGGCTCTGTTGGCCGGGTGTGGGTCCCTGTTTAATAAAGTTTAATGATGAAAAATTACAAATATTCTAAATATTTTAATGACAATACTTAAAAAAATAATAACAAGCAAAAGTATAACAGAAAGATCAGTTTTTGAAATGCATAGAATATGGTAAAGGGAAAATTATTCCATGTGGTTAAAAGAAAGAATTCTTAAAGTATTTTTGTCCTTTATCTTCACTACACGCAACTTCATTGTAATTTAAGTCTTTATCTACTTCCAAGAGTAAGTTTACACCTATTAAAATAAACAAAAGTTGAGCAAACAGTACTACATGGGTGTGAAACATGGATTCTAGAGGCAAGAAACAGCAGCTTTAACAGCAACAAAAATGACATTCTTGAAAAAAAAAAAAAAAAAAAACGTGGAGTTAAAAAGATAGAGAAATTCACAGATGTAAAAACAAAAAATGTTTTGGAATGAGTTGATCAGGCTAAACTAAGGCACTATAAAGAAAGAGAGAAATGTATAATTCAGCACTGGATGGGATTTCAAAGAAGACCAAGAAGAAGAAGGTGGAATGAGAGAGACACATTAGAAAAGAAATGAAGATGTAAGGATGGAACGAGAGACATACTAAAGGAGAGAAGAGATGGAGGCCCAGAAAAAAGCAGAGTGCATAGATTATGGGGGATCATGGTGTAAGGTGGATCATGGGGATGTTTCAGTGATCAGCAAAATCAAGGGCATCTGTGTTTGCTGTTGTTTTCACCCAACCAGACAGATAGCACGAGCAGAACAAAAATTAACAGAAAAGTGAAACAGGATCTTGAGAGGTAGAGAACACTAACCAGCTGCTTCATCTGTAACACCAGGCAAATACTTGGGTATTTGGATTTCTCAATATTCTCTTAGTCTGACAATTATTTAATTCCATCTGGAATAGCTTCTTGTTCTCATTAAAACCCTGTGATAATCTCTCCCACGTATATTCCATAACTGCTCTTCATTAGTATTCTTACTTTTCTTTTAATCTTCCTGAATTAAGGTGTTTTTTTTTTCTTACACTTATCAAATTTATAGTCCCACACTGTGTTTACATCTAAGGCTAAAATGTGAATTAGATACATGATGAACAACTACAGCATTCATAATAAACACATTGATATTTGTGGATACATGACTATTTCTAAAAAAAACTTACTCTACACAAATAGAAATCACATGTGACACTGTTGATGCTGGTTCCTTCCTGAGGTGTCAAGACCCTAACTTTAACTAGTGCTCTCATACATTTCAAACAGTTAATAAAAGTGACCCTGAAAGACATTACATGCTATATTTGTCCCTTGTCTAAGCCAGTCATTGAAGTTTTCATTTCAATGGGAGGAAGTAAAGTGAAGTAGCCAACAAGACACCTGGTTCTGGGGGTCACTCGCTATAATACAATACTGTACAGCCTCGGTAACTGTCTCCTCCACTGAACCTTTATTACATTTCCTCCCTTTTGTAAGTCCACCATATAAATAAAAAGGTTAAATAAATCTGTATAAACACCTTATCTATACAAACAAAAACTTTATTTCTTGGCACCTCAAAAGAAACTCACCTACTGACAGTACAGTTTAAGTAATATCTCCGTTAGCCAAGATCCCCCTTAACCGGAACTCTCCGATAGCCGGAATAGAATTTTTTGGGAAAATCATTCCCAAAGTCATAATTTTCTGGAAATTACGGCTTTGGGAACAATTTCCGTGGGGCACATCTTTTGGAAAATTCAGAGAAAATTTTCCCCATACCTGGAAAATTCTGGGGATGGAGAATTTTTTCCGGCTTTGAGAGAGTCGTCTCGTTACCCAGAAATCTCTCATTCCTGGAAGTGCTCTGCACCAATTGTTCCGGCTAATGGATATATCACTGTAAATTACTCAACATTCAAATTCCCCATTTCCAATTTCTGGTCTACCACTTAAAATAAGTAAACTTGCTAAAGAACTTGACATACCAGTAGAAGGTGATCGTCTGTTCCTCCGTGGTGATCCATGAGGAGAGGCAGTGGGGGTGCGGGGCCTTGAACTACTGGTGGAGGAGGAGGCAGTAGGGGTGTACGAGGAGGAGGAGGAGGAGGCAGCTCCGGAATGATATCCAGAAGAGAATCGGGATCTTCGAGAGGCTTCCAAAAACACCCCAGCAGAGTTGTGCATACGTGTCTGTAGAGCTAACACCTCCTCAAGGTCCGACTCCCTGTATCAAACAAATATGCAAAGTTCTCTCACAAACTGATGACACAACTGATACCACATCTGAATATACGTGTTCTGAACTACTATGGGGAGGATTCATTGAAGAGTGACTCATAGTATTAAATTATTATAATCTAAGGAATAACTTCAGGTTCTCAAAACATATCCATACACAATAAATTGTCCCTTGTTAAGCTTCCCTTTCTATGTAGTATACTGTACAATGTTCACCTGAAAATGTCTAAGTTCATAGTTATTGATTCACAAATATTTGGTTAATTAATTTCACCCTTATGTTAAATCAATATGGTTTCACTGATGTTCAAGCAATTCTGATGGACTTGAGGTGAAATCTAAAAAAATTTCAGAGGTGCAAAGAGATAAAACAAATAAACCTCAGAAACTATAACAATACAGTTCATGATTTATAAGTACAGTACAGTACTATAATAATCTCATTAGCCAGATTCCCAGAACTCTCCAATAGCCAGAATTGAAACTGAGTCGGAATAATTCCAGGAAACTCTCTCCAATCCGGGTCTGCGAACGAGTTTCCAAGGATGAAAATCAGGTGCTTTTTCAAGAAAAAATTCCGAGAAAGTCTGAGACAATCTCTCCAAACCTCTCCGTTCTGGGCCTGGGAATAAATTTCCGGGAGTTCCGAGAGATTGCATCATGCTCCAAAGCATCCCAAAGTGCTAGGCACTTGGGTGACCCAGCTGCTTGGATCACTTAGTTTATATTCTGCTGCCAATGTAGAAGGTTGTTCCCTCGCTAGCTGCTGTTATTGTGTACAATTTGTGCTGTGCAGTACTGTACATTACTGTAACAGGACACAGTCAAGAATATACTGTAGTGCTTAAGCAGTGTTAAGACACAAGAAGTGATTACAGTTACTGTACGTCTACTGTACATTTAGTAAGTGGGAAACACTAGAGCTCCTTAGCTTTCATATTTATTCAAGACATCTTCAGGTCATGAGACCCACAAATCCCACACCCTGACAATAGGTGACCTGACACAGCATCATAAGGTCAGTAATATGAGACCACTAATTCCTCCACTACAAATGAGAAAAGAGTTTATACAGTATACAATGATTGACCTGACATTGCATCGGGTCATGTCAGTAACATGACCCACTAATCCCTGACTCTACCTCCATCGCAAGTGGGGTTACAGTGATTGCAGTTATGTGTTACATTCAGCAGAATGGATAGTGTATGCCTCCTGTAGGCTCAAGATGACAGCATCTGCTAGTGAGTACAGTATGATGTGATAGAGTTTGTATTTCTGAAAGTTTGTAAGTCGAATGTTCTTAAGTAGAGGAGCACCTGTACTATCATGATGGATGGTGGTTAACTCAGTGGCTGGTGGCAGAGTACATCATTATTCTTTTACCAGCTGCTACATCACCACAATGTTGTAGGGAACACTTGGGAGCCATTATAATACACGAAGAACTAGTACTGTACACAGAAGGTACAACACATTAAGATAATTACAGCACGTGGTGCATGGAGAACCTGAGGTGCACCCAAATTCCTCCCATGGTGCCCCAACTGAATGGGCAAAGAAACATGTTTGGGATGTACTCTAGGTATAGTACCATACATATAAACATAACATGACCCCTAAACTTTTAATCCCAAATTAAAGAAGAAACATTGATACAGTACCCGGCACTTGACATGAAGGCTCGATACAGGTCCATGGTGATGTGCTCATCCCTAATTTGCTGCTGCTGTTGAGTAAGTGGCTGATCACTTGTATGCTTCTGAAGATCACTAGAATCCAAGCTTGTAGACATTTTGCTGCCATCCCCTTCTGTGAGCACATCATATTTTTCGTTCAAAAAGATTCAAATTAATTACTTTTAATGTCTTAGATAACCTGGGATATTGTAGTAGTACAGGTACAAGTAAAGAAAAACAATGAAAAAGTGGGGAATAGGAGAAGGAAAAACTGTATGATTTTGTTTTTCATAAATTTATCCAGGGTAAAGGTATACTGTACCTGGAAAAAATTTACTTATCCTTGGATTTTACACAGGCCATTCTCCATGGCAAGAATAATGCCATTTAAATGAAAACACTATTGATCATAAATAGATGAACCATATGCCTAATTAAATAAGAACATATTTGCCTGTGGTAAACTTTTTGGAAATTTACATACATCAAGAACTAAAATTTTGACATCTGATAAGTCTGTTGACAAAATACACTTGTTTTACCTAAGCATTGGTCTATCCATTTTGTATGGCTCTGGAGGGTTGGAACATCTTAAACCAACACAATATGGTAAAGGTGACAGACAACATGCATCCTACCAGTGCCAAGCAATGTGTAACTCTATGTCCTAGAAGTTCAACCTAACCTCCAACATCCAACTTCCACTAGATACATCAAACTGCTACGAATATATGCAGTACCTTTATTATTAAAATTTCATGCAAAATAAAAAGATATAAAGTTCTCATAAGTTGTCACTGATCACAGGACACTTTTGGTATAAATTACGGTGTCACCAACATTGCACTTTTTTAAGGCTTGTGCTTACAATCCAATCCAGTATCTAACTAAGAAAAACACTCATTTCAAGTTTCAACAAAACTACTTATTGAGTCATTTCAAACATTTTGACCCAAATTCAGAACAGTAGTTTGAGCCTGGGATTTGGTCTCTTTTCAGGCGTGCAAATCGGGATTCCTCAATTGGAGATTTCCTGCAGTGGATTACCGATATTCAGAACATCGGCTTAAACCCTGGTTCTGGTAATCTGTTGCATTTTCTTCAGTTCCAATCAAGGATTCGAACACTGAAATTCCATCCAATCATGTCTCATTTACACCATAACAACAGCCAATCACCATCAAGAGTAATATTTACAAGATTATGGCGGCAACTATGATGAGACGAGTATTTACGGAGGAGAAATCTCTCCATGCACATCATAAGTTACTTTTGTTACTATAATTACAATCAAATTATAATGATTTATGGCACTGTTACAATGTGGCTATTATTATATGATAAAGAAATTCATAGATGAAGAACAATTACTCGGTACATACAAAATGTTGATATAATCTGGGACAGATGCCAATATTCATAACCAAAGCAAGATGAATCAATGCAGGGCGTAGTAACCTGGCTAGGTTCAGTTAGGTTAGGTTTCTTTCTGTTCTTTTAACCCCACATTTCCCCTGACTAGAAATGTTAAGAAAAAACTTTTCTTTATTAATACATTAAAATCAAAATGCACTCAGCATTGATTCAAATACAGCGTTCTTTACATTTACCCGCTTGATCCTCATGGACCCTAAACACGAAAGTGTTGTAAAGCATTACCATAACTCATTCAGTAACCAGAATCTTTCTTATCCGGAAACTATTCATTGCAAAGAATGTCAAAGCAATCATCAGCTTTGGAGGTAGTAGTTAGTAGGCAGCTATCAAACAGGGAGGTACTATCGCCAGGGAAGATATTGGAAGCATAAAGTGTTGTCTAATGGTAGACCCTGCTGCCAACATCACGAAAATTGTGACCCAGTCCCAGGTTGCTGATCTGACTTTCTGCCTCATTTACACACAATTGCAGGGTCTCAATTGTTTCTCTTACTTTGACAACACAACATACATATACAGTGGACCCTCGCTTTACGCGGTCAATTGAACCCACGGAGGCCCCCGTAAAGCGAGAAACGCGTAAAGTGAACAACATAACATATGGGATTAATTGAAATAGAGACCGGGCCGACTCCCAAACTCCACTTTTTCCCGACACAATACCTATGTTCTAGTAAAACTAACATCTTAATTTTATGATGGTACGCACACACAATTAATATTTAAGAGAAATAGAGAAATACAGTCGCCAAGTTAATGTCCATTCAAATAATGGACTCAACTCCCCCCTCTTCTCACACTCACTGGCTCCTCCCTCTCTGAGAAATGTTTGGGGGAAAACACTAGATTTTAAGGTATAGTAATAAATAATACCTCAAACTAAAGTTAGGATAATATAATTGACATTGCTGGATTCCTTGCAAGACCAGGAATATTTTGAATATACATGTCATATATTTTGCACAAAAGATAACATATTTGCTCTGAGTAAACAAAATACTTACATTAGATCTAAAATTTGTATGTCTAATGCAAAATCTATGATGTTTATATTCAAAATGATCATCAAATTGTAAGAATTCCAGCAATGTAAATTATATTCTGGCCGGGTAATTTGAATGAATTTTATGAGCCAAATAAAAAAATTATACTTCACTCGCGTGTACGAGTAGATGCACCGAGTAAAGTGGGAATTCCGGTTCTGGCAGGGTACCGAGTAAATGTAGAAACGCGTAAAAAAAAAACGTGTAAATGTAAAGCGGGGTATTACTGTATTGTTTCTCACTACTGATTTTTATTTAAATTTTTGTATTTCTTTATGGTTCTTTATTATTATTATTACTATTATTATTATTGTTATCTTTATTATTATATTTTTAATTTTGTATTTTTATTGATGGATAATTTTTAATTACTATGAATTATTATTATCATTATTAAATTTTCGCCCCCCAGGCCCCGATATGGGCTAATCCCCGTAAAAAAAAAAAAAAAAATCTGATGAATGGGAGGTAGAGGTGAACCATAGCCAACAGGTCTGTCAAGTAGATGCTCCATATCACGGAAAATATCAAGGAAATCTCCCTGGCTGAACCTATATCATTGTTTAAATTGCTTGTCATCATAAAAATTGATAGGATTCTGCCTATCTACCATCAGTCTTCTCTCTACAAAATTTCCATTTTGACGACATTGCTGAAAAGCTCGCTGTCAAAATTCATGTTGACTTGCTATCTTGAATGACGGATCGACCACTAAACCTGCCTCCAGGCTGGATTAATGCGAGGATCGACAAATCCGATCTCAAACCCGTTTTGAATCTTTGTGTTGGCTCAAGCCAGCATTCTGAATACCAACAATCTTCAATCTTCGCTCGATCCTTGGTTTAAACCTTCATGCGGTTTCAAACCACAGTTCTGAATTCGGACCTTAAAGTTGGTACTGTTTACTGTAATCATATTTTTGGAATCAGTATGTAAAGAATACTTTCAGTGTCTAAATATCAGTGTCGTGCCAACTTTGAACCCCCAAAATGACTCTTACACTTGAACAAATATTCAGGTGTACTGTATTTAAACTGGCATTATAGCAATTTAAGAAACCGCACCATGCCAATGTCTAAGGCATTTATGCCTACTGACACACCCACACACATCCAGACAACAAAGACCTCAATCTCATCACACAGTCTTATCCCTCTACACAATAACAAAGAAGTTTAACTCCAAAAAGTAACTACCTATTATAGGAACAGCAGTGTCTCCATCTGACTTGAGTCTTCGTACTCTAGGAGGCAACGTGACTATTTCACCTCCAACATCAGTTGCTGAGTTGAGGGATGAAATTGAAACAGATGAAGGTGTTTTGGAAGGAGGTGGAAAATTTATAGATGTGGAGGAACCATTAACTGACACAGATGGTGGGCTGCTAATGGAATTGGAAGAGGCTGAAAAGGCAATTGAAGGATGACTATTAAATGATGTAAAAGAAGAAGACATGGAGACTGATGGTGGGCTATTGATGGAGGTAGTGGAGCCAGAGAAATACAAAGGTGGACAACTGTTAAATGATACTGAGGAACTGTACAATGACACTAATGCTGAGTTGTTGACTGAGGTCAGACCATCAGATTCACTAACATGTAGAGGACTGTTAACTGAGAAAGAGGATTCAGATTTTTTGACAGGAGGAGGACTACTGGAAAGAGAACAGGATTCAGATTTTGGGATACAACCTGAATAGTTGATGGAAGTTGTTGAGCCACAGATAGACATTGGTGCATTGTTAATGGATGAAGTCGAGGCACTCATAGATGTAGACATTGACGACCCAGCAGGTGGAGAGTTGAGAGATAATGTGGAGGTATAAGGTGGAGAGGTAATGTGTGGAGTGGATGGCTCAGATGACGTGGCGACAGTAGTGGGGCACTGAGAGGACAGAGACGAACATGATGATGAAGCTCCCTGGTCTAAGTAGATGTGCGTCTCCTTGGTATAGGCTTGAATAAAGTCTCCGAGCTGCTTGGAGATCACAACTGCACGAGCTTCTGATGGCAACGTTTTACTGGGGTTCTGCTGAGGAAAAAGGTAGATCATCAGTGAAGAACCAAACAAACAGAAAAGAGCACAATTAACAAACTTTAAATACAAATTCTGCATAATTTAAATGTAATTACTTATGTACAGTCTTGTTCAAGATTCTTCAAACACTGCTGGAGACACCTGGCACCTCAAGGCCGTTTGTTTACTGTAGTACGTAGTACAGTAGTACCCCGATTTACGCGGTCAATTGAACCCACAGGGTACCTCGGAAAGTGAAAACCCGTAAAGTGAACAACAGAACATATGGGATTAATTCCAATAGAGACTGGCCCGACCCCCAAACTCCACTTTTTCCGACACAATACCTATGTTGTAGTAAAAATAACATCTTAATTTTATGATGGTATGCTCACACAATTAATATTTAAGAGAAATACAGTCACCAGGTTAATGTCCATTCAAATAATGGACTCAAATCCCCCCCCCCCCTCTTCCCAGCTCACTAGCTCCTACCTCTCTGAGAAATGTTTGGGTGAAAACACTAGATTTTAAAGTTTAGTAATAAATAATACCTCAGACTAAAGTTAGGATAATATAATTGACATTTCTAGATTCCTTGCAGGTCAGGGAATATTTTGAATGTAAACTTCATATATTTTGCCCAAAAGATAAAATATTTGCTTTGTGTAAACCAAATTATTACATTAGATCTAAAATGTGCATGTCTAATGCAAACTCCATGATGTTTGTATTCAAAATTATCATCATATTGTAAGAATTCCAGCAATGTAAATTATATTCTGGCCGGGTAATTTGTATGAATTTTATGAGCTAAATAAAAAATAAATAAAAAATTATACTTCACCGCGTATATGAGTAGATGCACCGCGGAAAGTGAAAGTCCGGTTCTGGCAAGGTACCGCGTAAATGAGAAATCGCGGAGAGTGAAACCGTGTAAAGCGGGGTAATACTATATAATATAATATGAAACAACAAAGCCCAACCATTAATTAAGCAACAGAGAACTAAGTAACCAATCACCGAAAATATTTTACATTCATTCATAATTTTTACAACGTACTATAGTAAACAAGCGGCCTTGAGTTGCCAGCTGTCTCCAGCAGTGTTCGAAGAATCTTGAACAAGACTTTGCCTAAAATCTGATCCCAATATTTCAACCAATGTCGACCTTCATATACTCTCAGCAAAAATACCAGGTTAGGCTAGGTTACATATTTTTCCCCCAACATCAAGCATACCTTAAAACAGTACTGTATAATACAAGCACATATGTACAGTTTTCTCTTCAGTAATAGTACATTATGTGTGCACGAATCAGGATAGGGGCCATTGTTATCATCTTCCATGAACCTGAGACTGAGTTAAGTCACTTTACTGTTCTCTGTTACGTCCACAGTTATGACAAGAGCACCAAATTTTGTGGTCCTCAGAAGGATCCATTTTATTCAATCTTTTTTATGTAGGTTTACGGAAAAATACACAAAACAACCAATACTGTATTTATTTTGTATAATATGGATGACAGCCTTGAACATTTCTCCTAAATCAGACATCAAAACATATTTCTTCTCACACAGACAGAAGGCATAAATATCTCTCCACTGAGGCAGTTTCCTTAAAAACTGTTCCTGTCACATCACACTCTCTGTATACTGTGATGACTTCTCTGTGTGGTGAAACTGATGATGTTAAATGAGATGAAAGTAGATAAAAATTACAAGACTAGTGGAAAGAGGACACGACAACAGAACACATCTGGTAAGACAACTTGAAATTACAAATGACAGCAGATGTGGAAGAAATATATTTGTTTTTGCCTCTGATAACTTGCACCATGAGGGAGAGATCTTGCACAAAAAAAAAAAAAAGTTTCTCATCTACAATTGTCAAACTTTCCCACCGAGTTATTATTTATATTCCTATTAATAAATATATCCTCTTGCAGAACCCTTAATTCCTTCAACTTTGTCTGACACACTCATATTACTCCTCCATTAAGTCTCTTGTTACTTAAAATATGAAACTGGAGACTTATCACCATACCTGAACATTCAAGGGAGTGTGGAGTGTACGAGTAGCTGATCTAAGGAAACGGTATACCAGGTCTGTCTGTTTCTCCTCACCACAGCCAATCATAAGTCGCCTCTGAACATGTTGCAGGTACACAGAGAATGCCATACGAGCCTGGTACTTGCTGCAACAGAGAAAAACATAATACCGGTTTGTAATGCACAAAATATTCGGAATAAAAACATACTGTAATGGTTAGACGTGCTTTCCTAATGGTGCGAATGAACATTACTATTATGACACAGTATGAAACCTTTGAATAACACACACACTGTCTTGAGTTCTGTTAGTGAGCATAAAATTCTGAGAAACAGTTTAGTAGGTGACTTTCTTCATCTAGTATACACTAAATAAAAAAATCTAAATATGCCTTTTCTATCTGGATGGTTATGACTGTGATTAGGTTTTACTGCATTATTATGAAACAGAATACAGTAATGCCTCTGATAATAATGGTTTGACCAACAACTTTCATATTTAAAACTCTAGTTAATTTAGGACCCAATTCAATTTACGTCCTTATTTCATTCGTATTTACAACCATAATATATAAAAATAAAATAAAATTACATTTTCATATAAATAATAACTAAATCCCGATATGTACCAGGTATTACTGTAAAAAAATTAAGAGTGCCTTGCACAAAGAAGCTGCCTTGCTAATGAGTGGTAAACAACAGTCGGAGCTTGGCGGGTCTTTTGTTTTCACGCATCTGGAACAGAAACAGGAGAAAAACTTTCTCATGTTTCTTAAAGCATTTTTGCATCCCTATTCAACATGAGCAAGAGAGCAAGTGATGGTAGTGTTGGTTCAAAAGTTAATAGAAAGTGTCTAAGATTAGCCGAGAAACTAGATGTGTTAAAACGATATGAAAAAGGTGAGAGGTCTGTGGATATTATATGGAGCAAGCAATGAAAATATTTTCTGAAGTGGATCCATTAACAGAACAAAGCATTAAAATTTAAATAAGTGCAAATGGCCTCTACATAAAGATGTCTAATGAGAAAAGAAAGCAGCTGTGCAAGGTTCTTTCGACAGCTTTATTATTCAAAGGCTTAAACCATCAACTTCAGCTACACCATCAAATTCAGCATCATAAGCAGCTTCAACATCAACTTCAGGTTCAGTAACAGTTTCAGCAACAGCTTTATGGAAAGCTACAACTTCAGCCAGAGTTGAACTTACAGCTTCAGCCAGAGTTGAACCTGATGACTTCGTCATCTGAGTAAAAACTCGCACAATATTCATTGGCTGTCCTTATGTTTTAGACTTTACCACCATTGGTGAATAGAATTTTAGTTTTACATTCGTAAATATTATTTTAAACATATATGAACAGTAAATAAGTGTTGCTTTCATATTCTTATGTAGAGAAATGACGATATGTTTTCACATGTATGCACTTACTGTTCACACGTTGGCGTTCCCAATCGTCTCGCCTTATTTCTTTACCATTAGTGGTTAGCTACTTCTATTGTTCCATTTATTAACATTAAATAACATTACTTCAAACATACATACAGGTATTCAATTTTTTTACATTAAATTCACTACAGATACAACCAGGGACTTATTTTCTTCAGTTTCTTATGTAGAACCATCGTCACTCACGAAAACAATGCCAACTTGTCTCCTCTTGTGTGCTTTAATATTCTACGTATTATAAATGAATTGCATTGTTCATTTCACATAATTAAACATTAATTCAATCAAATACATATTCAGTAATAAACAATAATGAATCTTTTGTACGTACAGTGAGTTCTGCTATAAAGCGTGTTTTGACAACGCGAATTGGCTCTAACGCGATTTATGAATAGAGGAACGATATTTGTATAAAGCGAACGCTTGTTTGCTGTAACGCGATTTTTGCTTACTATTTCTCCAATTTTGTGGTATTAACTGTGAATATGGTAAAGAAGAATATCTCCAAGAAGCGTTCTGGTGATCGCATTCCCGGTGATGATCGTAAAAGAAAGGCTATAACACTTGAAGAGAAGCTCGATGTTATCAACCTCAAAATCACCCTTCTACCCCATCAAGTTACATTCATATTTTTTCAAGGTAAAGTGTTACATTTACTGTATGATTTCATTATTAGATATGAATGTAACATTTATTTAGACTGTGCTATCCTTTGTGTTAGGCTAATTACGAAAAAATTTTCGATTTCGAGTAGTAATCTGCACCTAACCCTATTTTCTCCATAAGCCCTGTTATTTCTATTATTGTACGCGAATTTCTATAACACGATGTTTTACAAGAACACAACTATCGCGTTATAGCAGAACTAACTGTACTGTATTCTTTAGATAAATGACTATGTTTCCTTGAGTATGCACGTATACATTGGGTGTAAACACTGACAACAATGTCGTCTCTTATCCTCGTGTGTCTTAATATTATACGTATTGATGAATTGTATTGTTCATTTCGCATATATAAAGATTAATTCTATCAAATACATATTCAGTAATAAACAATAATGAATCTTTTGTACATATTCTTAAGATAAATGACTATGTTTCCTTAAATGCGCACGTATATGTTGGCGTTCCCAATCCGTCTCTTTTTTTTTTCTTTACCATTAGTGGTTAGCTACTTAAAACTTATATACTATTCATTTTTTTTACATTAAATTTACTACAGCCACAACCAGGGTCTTATTTTCTTAATTTTCTCGTGTAGAACTATCGTCTCGGACTCCCGGCTGTAAACACAAACGAAAACAATGGCGTCCCATCTCCTCTTGTGTGACCATATTATTATTCATTTACAGTGACCCCTCGTTTAATGAACGCCTCGGTTAACGAAATTTCGGTTAACGAACTGCCTTCCATAAGAATCTTCAATTCGGTTAACGAATTTCTTATGAACCGACCTCAACATGTTTTCGCTTGCACTGACCGGGCAACCAGCTTTAGTATCAGTCCGCCAATACATTAATCGGTTCTAGGGCTTAAATTCCTTACTATTTTTGTCAATATTAAGAAGTTTATACTATTCAATAATTTTAAAAGTTTAATATTCAATTTTTTAGTCATTTTAACAATTATTGAACATAAGTGAAGGTAAAGTGACTAGTTTAATGCGCGGCATCCAGCCTCTTAACACAGCAAACAGGTGTTAGTCTCTCTGTTTTCACTGGAGGTAACATCTTGCTTGAGACTCTCTTCAACTAAACGCTTTTTTTCTGTGTTTCCAAGCAAATTATTGGTCATTTTGAAATATATTTTACATATTGACAATAAATAATGCAGTGCAGTGTTGATTTAAAGAAAATAATCTTGAATTACACCAAGAGAGTTAAAATTTTATGGGTGAAATGGTGCCATGGGGTGACTTCTCTTCCACCCCAATGCCTTCTCTTCTTCCTTCTCCTCCACCCCCATTCTAAATCCCATCATCATCATCATCATCATCCAGGAGCCTTCTACATACACACCTCAAAGTAAGTGAACTTTTCTACCATTTTTGTTGAATTTAGGAAATTTTCGGTGAGCTGGAACCAATTACCCAAAAACCCACTGAAACAATGGTTTCGGTTAACGAACTTTTCGGTTAACGAACGGCCTTCTGGAACGGATTGAGTTCGTTAACTGAGGGGTCACTGTATATTGTATAAGGTGCATTCAGAAACATTATTTAAAGAATATAGTTTGCAATTTTCATTAATTGTATTGTTTTGGGGGAAAAGAGGGTAAAAAGCCACACAAAAGATATGAAAAAGTCACACTTGGGAACACATCTCATTATTATTGCTTTATTTTAATGGTAATGATTCGCGATAAGACGATACACCTTACACTGCAATATTGGAGGACACATTAAAGTCGTTATTCGAGGCTTTTCTGTATACTTACCAAAACACATCACACTGCAGTAACCATGAACACCAAAATATTGCCAAATCCAAGTGCCTCTGAAGATTGCTATTAAAAATTTCTGTACTGTATTTCATGAATTAAGATCAACAATCCATATCAAGTTCTATCTTTCAGAAGCTAAATTTTTTTGTTCTCAAACTGCAACAAGGTAAAAGAGCTCTGGACTGTATTTAAAATATGAGAACCTAATTGTTATGATGGCAGGAAAGTGGTTACCATCTTATAATCTGAGCTGATATTCTTCATGTTGGGTCTTCTAACTTGCCCACCTCTGCCCCTCTGCTAACATGCCAGTCTTCTCAACTCTCAACTTAGTATAATAATTGGATAAAAACTTTGAAACACTCTCAATTCTTCTATTTTCTATTGCATCCCTCTAACTGTATGTAGGACAGTGCAGAGTCTCACCTGAGAGCAAGTCCATTCTCCAAAGCTTTCATGACGCTCGCCTTTAGTTGCTTCATATCTCGGCAAATTACTTTTTCATCTTTCTTGCTTGTACCTTGCAGGGAAAAGAGGAACATCACTATCTCTTATGTATTATTCTTTGATACTCAAGGTAAGTAAACAGTCATCACAGAGTTCAGATCTGGCCAAAAATAGCAGATGTTATGCTTAATAAATTTTGCTCTCATCAAATTTCCTTTGCAGCAGCAACACCAACAACTAAGAAACTATAATTAATATGGTAAAAGCATTACTATAATTTTGTGTTAAAACATTATATTAATGTGCTTTCCCTATATGGAATCCTGGGAGACAATTTAGTTTGGTCAGTTCTCACCTACATAATCACATAAAACAAGGATATTAATTAAAATAATGTTAAGTTTTGTATCAATACAGTACAGGTACAGGAATACTACAACCCAAATTTAATTTATGAGTCACTAATTTGGAACTTGATGAAAGGAGTACAGTATATTGTATCTGTAACTACACATGTGACATACATGCACCAGACATTTTAGGAGCCTAAAATGTCTGGTGCATATATGTCACATGTGAAGGAAAGGATGAATCTAGGAAAAGAAGATTGCATTTTAGTTTGTTATCTGCTTCATTATATTTCTACTTTCCCTGAACTGACAGAAGTATATCAAAGTAAATCATTAGATGTTTTAATTACCGTAATATGCCTACAATACTCTGTTCTTCAAACAGTTCAACCTGATATTAAATTAAAGGCCTCTTCAATGACATGTTTTTACTAAAACTGTGATACTGGAAGTTTTCTGTATCCAATCAAACACAATAAACTGGTTGTTTGTAGCCTCACTAAACTATCTGATTGTTATGCAAGCAGCAGCACGATGAACTGTATATTGAAGGTGAGTTATGCTCATCAGTGTCATTTGAATCCCATATACTGTAGCTGTATTGTAGTGAAGTGTTGTAGCCTACCCAAGTTTTTCTTGTTCTTGAAGAAAGCAAGGCCTTTAGGCAAGGCACGCTCGTAGCAGGTGAGACGCTCCAGGGAGGATGCTAGCCCACTACTAGACACGCCTGACATTCGGACGGGCGTCACTCTCCCATATCTGTGCATTGATGTGGCACCACCACAAAGTTAAAGGCATAGCTGGGTTAAACTTACTACAAAAAATAGCAGATGGTCATATCAACAAGTAAGGAACATTAAGAAGAGCCACAACTAATTCAAAATGTATCATGCTTTCATTAATGGAACACATCTATATTTGTGTTAAATAAGAAATCCTCACCGGACTATCAACAGGAGTACCAATTCAGTATACTGTATAATAATATCATTTAGTTCTACAATTATGGACTAGACACTAACATCAAAAGTTGTAACCCATGTGACCCTCACATTTGACATACAGTATATGAGTTAAATCTGGGGTTGTGCAATTCCCGTAGTGATGATAAATGTGTATTGATAACACAAAAGTTATCCTCTACACAGGAAGCTTATAAACACCCAAACAGATACATACAATAACTGGACTATCTTTTTCAATATGAATGTAGGTATGAAAATAGTAGTTAACCGAGTATTATGCTGAGATTCTTTAGATTTAATTATATTTTTGTGCACGCACGCATGCACGCACACACGCACACAAGGACCTCACTGAGTGAGGACGTGTCCCCTGGCGCTCAGCAGCAGCCAAGGTCATCACGTCGACCTGTAGCTAATTCAAGGCAGTTCAGTACTTTTACGGGAAGACAGTGCGTATTTTCAAGGTATCAGTAACTGTGAGTGCCAGATTTGTGAATATGTCTGTTCCAGTGTCGTGATATCGTCGCACCGACCTGTTCCGACTAAAGTCTGGTGCTGGCTATCCTCCACCCCACACCATCACTCTACTTAAGGCGCTGAGAATCTTTCACAACTGCGGCTGCAGACTGGGTCTCCGCATTCCCAGACGAATCCCTATCATCACACCGAGCAAGCATAAGAAAGACAAGCCAGTGCCAGAAAGACAGTGTGCTCGCTATGAAGTGCCGGGACTATGGTACAGCCTACCATCTTTATGCAACAAGGTGGAGGAGGTCAGTCTCACAGTGAAGTCAGTTGGTGCAGGTATTGTGGCGATTACCGAGGCGTGGCAAATTGTTCCTGAGATCTGTGCCATAGAAAACTATGAGTTATTTCACCACCTTAGAAAGGACAGGAGAGGTGGTGTTGTAGTTCTGTGCTGTCACAGTGACCTCAAACCATCACCCCTAGGTGTTAATGTACCTGAAGATGTAGAAGCCTTGTGGGTTCAGGTCACTCACACCTCCCACCCCCGCCAGCTTGCCTCCCTCATTGTTTGTGTTTGCTATCATCACCCCCCGCGCACCAACCACCAATGTACTGATTACTCATATTATAGACACTGCTGACTCCCTGAGATCCAGATTTCCATGTGCTAAACTAGTGATATGCGGTGACTTCAATGAGTTAGACATCAGTGACATCACCCAACACCTCCACCTTACACAAATAGTTGACTTTCCCACACATGGCAATGCCACCCTTGACCTCATTATGACTGATCTCGGTAACCACTATCTTCCCCCCCAGCCGCTGCCTCCCATGGGACGCAGCCCCCACCTGTCCCTACTGTGGTCACCTCACCACCCAGTTGCACCAGGACTTACCGACCCACCCCCGACTCTGCTATGCGGCGTTTTGGACAATGGATAACCCGGTATCCCTGGACTGAAGTGATCACGGTAGACGATGTGCAGAACAAGTGGGATAATTACCTGGACACTATCACCAAAGCCTACCACCACTTCTTTCCAGCCAAAACACTGAGGATCCACCCCGATGATGTCCCGTGGATTACGCCCCGCATAAAAAGACTTATTGAGCAGCGCAACAAGGCATACTACACCAACAACCGCCTGTACAAAAGTCTACGTAACCAGGTCATCAGGGAAATCAAGTCGGCCAAGAAGACTTATTATCCCAGGAAAGTGCACGGCCTCAAGGAAGTCGGCATCGGTCAGTGGTACTCCAAGGTAAAAGATCTCTGTGGTCTCAACCATCAGTCTCCCACACTTCCTTTCATCTCACATTTACCTAGTGAGGAGGCAGCTGAGATAATTAATAACCATTTTGCTACCATATGTCATACCTTACCCAGTCTTGACCTCACTCTCCTCCCAGCTTACTTACCTTCCCCCTCCCCCCCTCCCAGTGTCCAACCATATGAAATCGCCAACAAACTCCTGAAATTTAAATCCAAACGCTCCACGACCCCAATTGACCTCCCAATCAAAATATACAAGGAGTTTGCAGTCGAACTTGCCACCCCCCTCTGTTCCATTATTAATGCATCCCTCAGACAAAGCAAATGCCCTAATGAATGGAAAACCGCATTTGTCACCCCCATCCCCAAGGTCACCACCCCACAGTCCCCTGACCTCAGGCCAGTTGCCATTACCCCCATACCCAGTCTACTTTGTGAGGACTTTGTTTTTGAGTGGGCATTTGCCAGTATCTATCAGTCAATTGATCCACAGCAATTTGGCAATATGAGGACCTCCTCTACATCACACTGCTTGGTGAGCTTTCTGGATTTTCTGCACAAAAACCTGCAGAAACGTAAGACATCACTGGCCGTTGCCCATGCTGACTTCAGGAAGGCTTTTGACCTTGTTGATCACTGCACTGTTATCAACAAGGCTATTGCACTAGGGCTGCCCACCAACCTGGTCTCATGGCTCACTGATTTCCTGAGTGAGCATCGTCAGGCAGTCAGGTACCAGGGTTCTCTCTCCACATTCCAACACCTCACCTGCGGTGTTCACCAGGGGACACTATGCTTCCTAATCCTGATCAACGTGGATGACTGCACTGTGGGGGGTTACAGTGTACAACACCTCACCGGACTACTCATCACTACAAAGCACCCTGGACAGGCTACAGGCATGGACTATGGAGAACAAGGTCACCATCAACCACACCAAAACCGTAGTCATGCACATCAATACCGCCACCACCCCAGTGCAAGCTCCAGCAGTCACAGTGGGTGCCCATCCTCTCCAGTTAGTGCAGTCTGCCAAACCCCTGGGTGTTACCATAGACCACAAACTGGACTGGAAGACCCATGTAAACAACACAATCAAGGCAGCCTCGTACCGACTCTACAAGCTACGACGACTCAGGTCACTTGGGGCACCCACGCCAGAGCTGAGGACTATCTACAATGCATTTATTCTCCCTAAATTATCACCAGCCTGGTTGTCTTCTCTCAACTCTACCCAACAACGTCAGCTAGAGAAGGTACAGAAAAGGGCCTGCAGAATCATGCTAGGCGCAGACTACTCTGGCTACAACAACGCTCTCTCCACCCTGGAAATGCCATCCGTCAGTGACCTCCACCACCAAGCACTAGCAAGGTTTGGCAGTGGACTACTACATCATCCTCGTCATCGCCACCTCCCGCCACCGGTAGTCCCCCACCCACCTCGTACAGTCCGCCATTACAACAAAATTCAGCCCATAAGAGCCCGCACTGATAGATATAAGAATAGCACTATCCCATGTATTGTTAAAATAATAAACAACTCCTGATTTATGTACTGTACAGCCCTGTAAATGTATTGAACGCATATCATTATGTTTAAATCACATGTAAGTTTGTATATTTTCAGCCACAGGCTGCATCTCTATTAATAAACCATTTATTATTATTATTATTACACACACACAGACACACACACTGCTCCCTGACCCAAATTTATTTCTCACACAGCCTCTACCTACCCAACTCCCCCATACCCTGCATTCATTCCAACTATTCTTCCTCAAACAATGAATTAAAATCATTACAAACTACATAGTCTTGAGAGCATTTGCTCCCTTCAGTCCATATATAAAACAAATCAGGTTAATTCTCCTTTAAGTTTTGTCTAATACTGTACTGTACTCCCTTCATAAAATCAAAGCCACAACAACATTTTCTCAAAGATGTTTCCTTCTCCTGTGCATCTTGGGGTGTGATTATATTATAGTATTAATATTCTGACACCACCCATGGGTTAAGAAAATTAAGACAGTAATGACTAAAATGAGTTGTGGGTTGACAAGAGTGTGACTCATTCTGGTAGTAAGAGTAGTAGTTTAGTGCTCAGGGGAGTGTCAGCTGCAGAGGAATACATAAATACAGTACGGGCTTGACAGAAGGAAATATGAAGGACAAATGATTTCTGTACTTTTGAGAGTATCTGAATAACAACATCCCTATAAGAATATACAGTATATCCAAATCTGTAATATTCACAAGTAAATCAATGTTAACAATTTACACCTTTGGCAGCTGGGTTCAACCTGAGATCACCAAGGTTGGTAGTCAGCCAACTAGTTCATCGTGGTCCAGTGGACTAGCTGCCTGACTACCAACTGCAGTGACCTTGGTTAGAACCCAGCATCCAGAAACATAAATTGTTTAATCACAATAAGAAATTATTGAGCTGAAATAATGTGCTCTGGTCTGTGGTAACCTATTCACTTCACCAGGGACTGATTATATTCCTTTATACTTACTGGGAGAAACAAGACTACAGTACATAATCTGAAGACACACACAGTATCACAAACTCTTTAAAGGTCTAGGAAGACACACTTCATCTGCTCATACTCCTTAAGGAGTCATATCATGGGTTCAGAGTTAGCATGACATTCAATCACTCACTCCCGTGTGTGTGTGTGTGTGTAGGTGAGGGGGTGTACACAAGTAAAAATCAGAGTCCGGCCAACTTGAACTGTTGAATTCAAACAATACCAAAGGTTCTGGGGGTGTTGTGACGATACAGTATATATCTCATTATCACACCTAAATTTTTTGTAATTGTTTAAGCTGTGGAGTTGGCATTACATTAACTTGTAGGCCCAAAGACAAACACAAAGACACACTATACAAGTCTTCTTTACTCACACAATACACAAGCATGTACTGTACACACAATTCCAAAAATAATCTCCAGCCAATTTTGAACTTCTGATATGACATCTAATAATTCTCATATTGGCCTCATTCATTCCTACACTAATAATACAAAATTACCTGTTGGTGCGAGGAACTTGAGGATACAGGTGATAGTGAAGAATTAAATTGAGTGGACTATCATACTCCTGCAGTCCTCCATACAGCGACCAAGAATCAGGGGTGGGGTATATGCGAGCCCATCCACCCTTCCGTTCGTATTCTTCGCGAACTTGCCGTACAATACGCAGCTCCTCGGCACTGGGAACAATTGGGCCACCACGTACGTACTGGTTCCTGTCATACGTGTCTGTTGTGTAACGCTGAAATACAAGATAAGCTAATTTGTAAATATTGTACATTAAATGGTTTTTCCTGTTAAGAGAGATAAAACTTCATTAACAGTAAACTAAATATACAGTATAATCAAGAACACCAGTTACTCAATAGACAGAATACCTATCTGCACTTTACAATATACAGACACTCACCGGGTTATGCAAGACACGGGTTACAAGTTTCCGTCTTTACGGATATTCTCCCATAAGTTCTATTTCAAATGAGCGTCAAGTAATTCCCAGGTCAAGCGGGGATATTTCCATCCATACCCCACCGGTGAGCTGTATGTCATGTTTATTTTTTAACTCACAAATTCGAGTACAGTGACCCCTCCGTTAACGAACTCAATCCGTTCCAGAATGTCATTCGTTAACCGAAAAGTTCGTTAACCGAAACCATTGTTTCAATGGGTTTTTGGGTAATTGGTTCCAGCTCACCGAAAATTTCCTAAATTCAACAAAAATGGTAGAAAAGTTCACTTACTTTGAGGTGTGTATGTAGAAGGCTCCTGGACGATGATGGGATTTAGAATGGGGGTGGAGGAGAAGGAAAGAGAGAAGGCATTGGGGTGGAAGAGATGTCACCCCATGGCGCCATTTCACCCATAAAATTTTAGCTCTCTTGGTGTAATTCAAGATTATTTTCTTTAAATCAACACTGCACTGCATAATATATTGTCAATATGTAAAATATATTTCAAAATGACCAATAATTTGCTTGGAAACACAGAAAAAAAGGGTTTAGTTGAAGAGAGTCTCAAGCAAGATGTTACCTCCAGTGAAAACAGAGAGACTAACTCCTGTTTGCTGTGTTAGGAGGCTGGATGCCGCGCATTAAACTAGTCACTTTACCTTCAATTATGTTCAATAATTGTTAAAATGACTAAAAAATTGAATATTAAACTTTTAAAATTATTGAATAGTATAAACTTCTTGATATTTACTAAAATAGTAAGGAATTTAAGCCCTAGAACCGATTAATGTATTGGCGGACTGATACTAAAGCTGGTTGCCCGGTCAGTGCAAGCGAAAACATGTTGAGGTCGGTTCGTAAGAACTTCGTTAACCGAATTTTTTTTCGTTAACCGAATTGAAGATCCTTATGGAAGGCAGTTCGTTAATCAAAATTACGTTAACCGAGGTGTTCGTTAAACGAGGGGTCCCTGTACAGGGAATATAAATTGAACTTCCCCTAATCTGGACTAATTGGGGTTAAGACCTGTCTGGTCTGGCCGATATTCTTGGCTGGGCAGGAGACTGTACAGTAATGTCTATACTGTACCTGTAGTGTAAGGTGGAAAATTCCAGAGGATGTGGGATTTCCAACTCAAGGTACCTAACAACACAGAACCTACAGTAATTTTTAGCCTAGACTTACCACCCTCAGGGATTATATACGCTATATATTTTTTCTTCTTTTTTGCCACTTAGGGTATTAACATGTAGAAAAAAAAGTTAATTTTTCCTTTGTCTCTTATAAGCTCTCAGCAGCTTGGTGCTGGCTCTTAGTACAAATGTACCGGTACAGCTTGGCAAGTCACCGGGTCGCTGGTGTTGCCAGGAGCTCTCACACTTCTGGCAGTAGTGTGTACTGTCTTGGCTGTCACACTCGGCTTCATTCAAGCCTCATGTCCCAAAAATACCTCCATTTGATGGCCTATTATTTTTTTTTTTATACATATATTTATTTGGATAAACTATTCAAGATTATTTTGGTATAAAAGTGGTGTTTCTAACTTATTAGAACTGATCTTATAGACTCCGGTGTAAATATTTTTTATTATTTTTTTTTTCAATTTGTAGTACTGCATTGACCAACCACGGCACTCAAGTTGAGCCAGGTGTTCTTCTAATGGTTTAGACAAATTTAAGACACTTCTTTTATGACATTTCCCTCGCAAATTACCTAAATTTACTTAACCTAACCTCCTAACCAGGGGACTCCACTCCCCTGGATTCCCCAATATATTTCAGTCATTTGAGTGAAACATCAGAGAAGAAAAGTGTCTTAAATTTGTCTAAACCAAAAACTTTTCCCAATGCTCAACTCGTGGTTGCTCGAAACTACAAATTGACTTTTTGATAGTGACAAAATATTTTGTTTAATGGTCTTTTATTAGAACAGTCTGGTAGAGAATTTATTCAGAATTATTATGGTACCAAAATTCATCTTTTGAACACAATTAGAACAGATGTGGATAAAAAGTTATAAATTTTTTTAAGCCGTAAATATTTTAGCTCGTGGCCGTAGCCTACCTAATCATACTAAATAGAAAAGAGTTTCATAAGCTGTACATTATTGCTGAACTATAATATAACTATTGATGAAAAATTGAAGCACATAGTATAAGTTAATAAGTATATACAGCGGTCCCTCAATTAACGAACACAATTGGTTCCACAGAGTCGGTAGTGAACCAAAAATTTTTTTAACTGAATCTATTATTTCAATGGGATATTGGGTAATTGATTCCAACTCATAGAAAAAGTATATACAGTACATACAAAGTACTGTATACCAGTAATAGAATTAACAAAACATTAAATATAAACAAAATACAGTACTGTACTGTACTGTACAGTATACTATACAATAATAAATAAAAAACAATAGAATACTATATTTCAACTAACTTTGAGGTGTGTAATCGTATTCCCGGCAGCTTGTTTACATATCAAACAGCTGATTGTAGAGGCAGTCGATGATGACATGCCATATTCTTTACAGAGTGCATTTGTTCTAATGCCTTCTTCATGTTTCATAATAATTTCTGCACTATATATTATCAATATGTTAACTAAATTTCAGAATGACCAATAATTTAAATATAAAAAATGCAAAAATATTCAAGAGCACAACTTTCTTGATATTTACCCCACTAGAAACAAATGTAAACATAGAACCAATTACTGTACTGGCGGACTAGCCGATCAGCTGATGCGCACAACAAAGAGTTTTTCGCGTAAGGCTGTCGTTAAATCGAAGTTTTGTTCGTTAATGGAACTGAAAATCCTTATGGGAGCTAATTCGTAAACCGAAATTTCGTTAATTGAACCGTTCGTTAATCGAGGGACCACTGTACTGTATTTATCAATTATTAACTTATCATGAGGCAGTTGAGGTATGAGGTGATTGTACGACACTCACAATGTACAGTCCCCTTCACTAGTGAGGTTTACAGGAGCTCCTCATATAAACATTCCACAAATCATTATCGTTGAGATATTTGTTTTAATATTGTTTTAATTTGATTCCATAGGATGTTCACTACTGCAAGTTTCCTTCTGTCGAATATAAACGGGGTTGCCACACTGCGCAAAACCTGATAAGCCCCTGTAAATACACTAGTGAAGGGGACTGTATACAGCAGAACGTCGATATAACACGAGATCCGTTCCAAGAGAGGTCGTCGCTTTAAACCGAATTCACGCTAAATCTAAGTGTTGTTTCAATGGAATGATTTAGTTTGGTACTTGAGAGAAACACAAAATACTAAAAAGACTGACAGTCTACCCAGATGCACCTCAGCCCATCTTCTAGAATAAACAAAACATTGTTTTTTGTATTGTTAAAACAAACACTCATAAATCATCATGGCTAAAATTAAGGGATGTGAAATGGTCTGTTTACTGGCTGGGAAGATGGGGGAGGGAGGGAGGTGATATGTTTGACAGCTGATGCCAAGGTCTAGTGCTTACTTATTTATCTGTCCTTAAGAGTGACTAAGTTTTTCTCTTATAAATGTCACTGAACTGACCTGGGAGAATATAATTAACATTGCTGGAATTCTTATAAGAGAGTGATTAATTTGAATATAAACATGCTGTAGTTTGCACTAGACATAAATTTTAGTAATCATTTAGTACATTATTTTGAGTACTACATGTACAGTACAGCATTGCCCTTAGGACAGAGTAGCGTGCCCAGAGAAATATTAGGCGCAAAATATAAAATATGATGCTCCAGATTGACTCGCATAAAATAGGAAAGATTCGCTTTAAATTGAAACATTGTCCTTAATTGTGGGTGTCGCTTTAAATCAATAATCTTAAATCGATTAATTTTAAATCGACATTCTACTGTATCACCAAAGGTGGAGCAGAGGTTATGTTTTCACTGTTAATTTCATTGACTGTACACTATTTATATTTCTTAAGACACCTTTAGTGCTCTTCAACAACCACCTCCACCACAGTGGCAGTCCCCACTCACACTAACTTTCCCTCATACTAACCAGATTTTGGTTGTTTTTTTCTAGGTTTGGGACACAGGTACATGTGCCTGGTGCTGGACCCCAGTCCAATTTACAAGGGGATCCAGATTAAGTGAGTCCGTGTTAGACTGAGTTTACAGTACAGTATATGTATTTTTTTGTATTTCTTTTTAGTTATATACACACTCAATCTTACAAACAGAAAGTGAAAAATAATAATAAAAGAAATGCCGGTAATTACTGTATCACAATGTATAAAATAATAATTTTAACTCGTACTTTCGGGTATGTAATTTTCTTCATTTTTTTTACTTGGTTACATAAACACACAACCCTACATACAGAAAATACAAAAATAAATTATTATCATAAGGTATAAAGTTTCATGTATCTACAGGCTTCCACCGTGAAACTGTGTGGAGGTTGGAGGGTCCATGGTAGAGCACCATTGCTAGGGATACTGCTGCATTGCTAAGATGAGCACCAGGGGCAACTGTGATGGAGTTTGTGCACTAACTTGCATCATTTTTGCTCTTAACTCTTTCAATAGTGCTACTTATATGCTTCTGTTATTGCTGTTTATATTCCCACAATTTGAAGTTTTAACTTCACAGTGTACAGTTAATGCTACTTATAGGGGTGAGTCTAGTGATATGAACAGAGGCTTCCCAGCCAGTTACAGAGGGTTTACTGTACATTTTAGGCCTTGATGCTCCAAATTCCAGAAAAAATACGATACGGCAAACCCCAGGTCCCAAGTACACCGGTCCC